TATATAAGACACTTTTTTGTGCATGCGTGTCACCTCCACGAGGTGTCCATGTCACCAGTGGATGGGAGCACATTGGAAGGAGTAAAGCTTACGCAGGTAAGGAGGTCCCGGTGGTTGCCGGGGGACCAATCTGGTTAGTAATAAAGCAGCGTTGAGACTTACAAATGTAGTGTAAAATGTTTAACTCACCTTCTCTGCAAGTAAAGTACTATTCTGGAACATGATCTTCTCTTTTCAGATGATGTGATTCCGTTTCTGAAACCATTCCGGAAGATGGACAGCCGTGGAGAGCCGATTCGGGCCATCTTCGTAACAATTCTGATCTGTTGGATGGGAATTCTTATCGCCGTCATCGAAAACATCACTGCACTAATCACTCAGTCAGTTCAGTTGAACTTTAAAATCCTATTTCCTATACGGTAGACTCTTCCTACAAAATAAGAAATGTTGGTAGTTGCTTCCCTTTCAAATAATATAATATCAAAATGCAAATTCAATTGAAGGATATTTGAATTGAACGTTCAATTTTACTGACATCGCTGATATTGCTGATAAAAACCGCAGCAATTGCAAAATATAACTTACGTCAGCCTGCTCAGAGCGGGGGGGGGGGTCTTTCAGGGCAAGCCGCGCTTTTTTCAAAACGGTTTCTTGCATATTGTAGGGACGCATGTATGGACCACAAAACCATGTTTCGTTTTCGCTGAACGGTTTTAGTAGTACCAAAAAAGTGGTGAAAATACTCTTGATGGTTCGATCCCCCGCGGCGACTAAATTTTGCAATCAAGGTTGGCGGCCACTTTTGGCTTCAATATGGTCCTAACTATGAGCTCTGCATATAATTCCAATATTAACAGCAATTTCTCAAACTATAAATGCAAAATTTATTTGCCTCGGCTGATCGAACCATGAACATTATCTTTCTATACATTTTTGTACTATTACTTTATTAATACTTTGTACTACTTAACTTTACCGTTCGGCAAAGAAAGAAAATGAAAGCTGGATTTATATTTCATATACGCGACCCTACAATATGCAAGCAACTGCTTTGAAGAAGCGCGGCTTGACCTTAGTCAGGCTTAAACGTCGATCCCGTATTAGGCCTCATCGTACTTATTAAACACCTACGCTCTTATTGTTAGAACTTATCCTTCTAGATTGGCTCTTCTTTCAGCTCTTTTCTTTCATTCTCTAAGATAGGAAAAAAGCAGAAATTAATGGAGCTTCTACATCTTCTTCCCTTCGGGGTCTGCAACTACGGTTTTTAGTTGAAAAGTTATTGTTTTTTTTTCAGATTCTTCCTGATGTGCTATTTGGGCGTGAACACCGCATGCGCTTTGCAGTCTCTGCTCAAATCACCCGGTTGGAGACCTTCATTCCGGTATTTCCATTGGTGAGTAAATGAAGTTAATGCCGAAAAAGCTGCAAGGGTGGCTGATGGAATGACGGCTGTTCAAAAGAAGATCCATGAGCATTTCGAAAGCTTTATCTGCTTGAATTTTTTGGAGCACTTCTGCACTCGGAATAGATTCAACCATATGTAGCTATGATGGACCTTTTCTGGGACCAAAAAATGTCCTTTTCTGGGACCACGAAGAACAACTCCCAATAAGATCTTGTCCTCGGGTTAACCAAATATTTCCTTGGATAGTAAAGGTTCTGACTCAATCGTTGGGTGGTTCTAGAGCGGTTAAACCCATCAGGGTAGCTACCTCAGAGTTGAGCTCAAAAGCATTATTCCGAAGCAATATACTGTTTGAGAAAATACGTCTGGTATCACCTGGGAATTCCAGCGCCGTAACGAGTCTCTTGGAGGCAAAGGATAAAACACGTGGCGTTGACCGATGGCTTCCTGGATCCGCCATGCATTGTGAACCACTCAGAATCAGTTGCTTTTAAGTGCAATTTAGCTTATACAATGAATTTCGGCTTTCAGCGTATGTGAAAGTCAGTACATACTCTTATCCTCGTACACGAGCCTGGTATCAGTAAGTTAAGTAGAGACAGAGGCTTTGGTTGGTCTGGGTGAGACCCATTCTGGTATTTGACCCGTTACCGTGAGCGTGGGAAGTACAAATGATTAATCGTCCGTATTTGCGGGTCTCCTTATTTTCCCCATTGATATAGTTAATTCCAATAATCTAATTCAGGTCACTGTCGATGTTGGGCGCATTCCTGTGTGTGGCAGTGATGTTCATCTCGGCATGGCACTTTGCACTAGTCGCCATCTTCATCGGTGCAGCCGTCTACAAGTATATTGAGTATGCAGGAGCCGAGAAAGAGTGGGGAGACGGTATTCGAGGTCTTGGCCTCAGTGCTGCCAGGTAAGCTATAACTGAGGAAGGATTATCATCTGTGAACTACCTTGTCATTTAAGGTTTGCCTTGCTCAACGTCGACCCCAAACCCCAGCACAGTCGAAACTGGCGGCCACAATTACTGGTT